TTTAAATAATCGAACATTGGCTGAGGGTATACATCTGTCGGCAAAACCGATCCATTCTTTTTTTTTCTGTCAGTCTTATTACCACGATTTGGTATAGCCACCATATAACGGTACCTACCGATATTCGGCATTTTGGTGGTTTTTTCAAATTTTTGTGGGGACTTGTCTAAAAAATTGGTATTTTTGGTCATAATGGGTTCTGGCTGCGGTGGTGAAATATTGTATGTATAGGTCCACGCTTTGGTATAGCCCCCATATAACGGTACCTCCCGATATTCGGTATTTTGATGGTTTTTGTCACATTTATTAGCCGATTTGTCTAATAATTGGTATTTATGTGCCCTAATGGGTTCTAGCCCCGTTGCCGAAACATTGTATGTGTAAGTTCACGTTTTTGTATAGCCCCATAAAGCGGTACATCCCGATATTCTATATTTTGATTATTTTTGCGACATTTTCCCACGAAAATGTCTAAAAATTGGTTTATGTGGGTCACAATAGGTTCTAATGTGTCCTTTACCATAGGGTGGTGGGTATTAAAAAATAAGGTACGGACGTACTTAATGTTTTTTTAATTGTTACCAGCTCGAATTGTTATGTCCTCCACCATACTAGGGAGGGTGTATAAACTTAGTCAATCAGTTGGTAACTCCTCGAAATACCCATGTTAGTATATATATTCTTCTCAACAAAGTATATATATTCTTGATCAGCGTAAAATTCTAAGTCGATGTCCGCCTGTCTGTCAATTGTAATCACGCTATCTTTCAAACGAATTGAGATAGACGGCTATATATTTGTATTTTTCCTACATTTGCCAAGTCCCTAAATTGGTCACGTCTGTACCCCAATATTCGCAATATTCGGTATTTTTATGGTATTAGAGACATTATAGACCGGAATTGTTTTAAATTTCGTATTGGCCGATGACGACAAATTTTGAATGCAGGTCCACGTCTTCGTATAGCCTCCATATAACGACACCTCTCGATATTCGGTATTTTGATGATATTTTGAATTTGAAATTTGTAATGGATACTCCAATCTATGACAGAAAATTGTACCCAAAAATGGATTTTTTAATACTTTTATTTGCGAAACTGTTTAGAGATTCTTTACTACTTGCAATATCTAAATATTTTCCCAACCAGTAATTTGAAAAGAATACGAAAATTTTTAGAAATTTATGATTTCCGATAAAATTGGATATAAATGTTGGATTTTCTTGTAATTTTGCCCATACCAGCATTTTTATCTGTATTAGATGAAGTGTGAAAATAGAATACTTCGGTCCACAATATCAAGTACCTCGCGCACATTTCAACATTTTCTAAAGATTATCACATATTTCATATAAAGTGAAGGAAGTAGTCGATATTGTCTAAAACAGGCACATCGCATCAAATCTTATGACCCACAACTAAAATCGTTTGAATTACGACTGAAACACGTGTGAACTAGTTTTTGAATTCAAATAAACATGTGGATCTGGAGTTTTTATTTTTTTCAATAAGTTTCTATTTATATGTGCTTTTCAATGAGCCTTTTCCGATTAGGTACGTTTAATAGTACATGACACTGAAAATAGCATTACTTCACTGTAACCTTCCATGTGAGGTCAAAATGAGTCAAATCTAAATAAAAGACAATAACAGCATGTCCTACGTATGTAGTAATATTTCAAGACAAAAGAGAAGAGAGGTATGAACAATTTTGTTAGACGATTTTCTTGGAAATTTCTTTCAGTCACAATAAATATCAAAGTACATTTACTCATTTTCTGCGTAGCTATATTGTCATAAATTCCCAATGTCATTTTTAAACAATTTAGCTTGTTTTTCAGACCTTGTTTTAGGCAAGCCTAAAATACCGTATTTATCATAGTACTTATATTGTCATAACCATAAATACTTTGAGGGCTTGCTGGAGGCATTTCTTTGTAATTCACCAGGGGTGGCATAATCACTGCTACGCCTATTCTCCCTTTTCGCTAAACTTTAAATTGTGCCTGATGTTGGTATATTTATCATGAATTTATTTAAAGCGACAGCTAAATGGCGATGATAAAGTCAAGTTCGTTTATGAAATGGATGTGATAATCTTTGCTGTGGTTACTTTACTCTCCTTCTAGGGGATCAAGTTTTGTAAAGCTTTTTGTTTATATTTTTTCCGGTGCGTAATAAAGATAAATGGCTGTGACAAATGTTCTAAATATTTCCTTATGAAATATTTTAATAAAAAAAATTACCGCAGGAAATCGTTAACAGGACCTAAGCGGGGATATGAAGTTTATGCCAACAAGTAAAAAAGTATCTGTCGGTTTTGCCGACAGATGTACACCGTCAGCCAATGTTCGATTATTTAAAAAATATTTTGACTAATGTTATGAATTTTCAAACTCTTGACCCTCTATGGAGTGGGGTTTAAAAGAATGGGTAAATATAGTCCATTTCATATCGGACCTAAATACATATGATATAAATATTATTATGAATATATAAGAAAATCGAACATTTATATCCAATTTATGGGAGATCTTAAATTCCATTTTTATCTCAGGATTCTGGTTGAGAGACATATATTTAGATATAGCAATTTGTAAAGTTTTTTTTTCGAAATTTATGACAGATAAAAGTATTGTCCCTTTGTGGATGGGGTACCAGAAGGGTTTCGCAAATATATAGCATCCTCACTACAGATATTGTGTTAGCAAAAATATTTGTATGTGTGAAATTTAAAAAGAGTTGGATACTTATTTCGCTTTCTATGAGCATTTTGTTTTTGTAAAACAGGTAGCAAAAGAAATGGTCCGATTTCTACCGTCTGTATAACAGATCTTATGTTGATGGAAATATTTTAGATGTACCAGGTTTGGAATGGAATCGGATGTTGATTTTGTTCTTTATGAACTTCAAGGAGCTTCAAAATTTTGAGCGTTTGTGAAGAAGGAGTGGACCGATATTGCCCATCTCTGAACTCGATCTAAGTTTGACAAAAATATTATGATGTACCAAATCTGAACCAAATCGGATACTCCATTCGAGAGTTATCGTACGCACCAGCCAGCCAGACTGACAGACGGACGGACGGACATCGCTATATCGGCTCCAAATGTTCTGAAACGAATTTGGTCAAAAGAGACCTAGGGTCTAAGACCGTTAGTTTGACTTGGCACGTTTTGACCGCATCAAATGATATATATACCCTCTGTAGCCATATTGGCTGAGGGTATAAACAAACAAACATTTCGGCCGCATTCGCCACACAAAAATAAATTAGCGAAGGTTAGCACAGTTCAGCGCAACTTTTGCCCTATCGATATTCGAAACATTTAATTTTGACATATATTCAAAACAAAAAAAAAAGACAACTTTTCTTAATTTTTTAGAGATATCGATTAAAAAAAAGACAAATGAAAAATAAAAATAAATATAGGAGCCAATCGCTGAAGCGATTACAACATAATTTTGAAAAATTTTAATAGCGGATTTCAGTGAAATTGGAAATACATACCGTGTTTGGTGCATACATAAAACCGAAAATATATAGGAGCTATATCTATCTTTGAGCCGATTTCAATATAATTTGGAAAAATTATTTTTGTATCAAACTCCTAAATTCGGCGGTATCCATTGACAATTGGGAAAAATAACTTTTTTTCAATTACCGACAGCGTTTAACTTTGAAAACCCCTTTTTTGGATTTTCAAACTGCTTTTAAAATTTACACAAAAAGTTTTCAAATTTACAAAAAAAAAAAAATTACAAATACTAACCGGCATGCCGACAGTGTACAGGGTGAGATGAAAAAACTGCAACCAACTTCATACTACTGCCATTTCTAAGCCACTCGTCCGACAGCTCTTGAGCTGAGCATATCGCAATATTCCATTCGTCAAATATTGAAAAATAAGCTCGGGGTAAAGCCATTGAAATTCCAAAAAATGCAAGAACTTGCACCGCAACAGATAGAAAATAGACTCAAAAGAGCTAAAGAGTTGCTTTGCTCGGCCGAAAGTGGCGAATTGCCGAATTTGATTTTCCCCGATGAGAAAACATTCGTTGTCCAGCAGTTTGTAAAGAAACAAAATGATCGTGTTTACTTGCCAAAGAGGTCAGCTGAAAATGTGAACCTTCGCTGGGCCACCAGAACTCAAGCACCGGCCATGGTGATGGTGTGGGCCGCCATAACAGCCGATGATCGCTTTCCGCTCGACCGTGGCATCAGAATAAATGCCAAATATTATCGCGAAAATATTCTGGAGGGTGTATTTAAGCCTTGGGCACGCAAACATTTTGGCCGCAGACCTTGGACATTCCAACAGGACTCAGCACCATTGCACTCAGCACGCGCCACCCAAGAATGGTTACAAAATGAGGTTCATCTCTTCATTTCTAGCGCACAATGGCAACCAAAATCTCCGGATACCAATCCGTTGGACTATTATGTCTGGAGTATTTTGAAAGGCAAGGTTGGCACTAAAAATACCAAAGTGTCGATCACCTCAAGCAAGCGCTTTACCGGTAACGGGCCAAAATACCATAGAGCAACAATCGGGCAGCATTTAACGGTTTCATTGGCCTTTTGAAGACCATAATTCGTGCCAAAGGTGACCAATTCTAACAAATCTGAACTTTTTCTAAAATGTGACGCTATTTTCGACATTTTTTTTTGCTTTCATTCAATAAATTAAAAAAATAATAAAAATTATGGCGTTTGATTTTGTTGCCGTCATTTTATCTCACCCTGTACGTACTATATTAGGTAACTAATTAAAAAAAATCACAAAAGTGTTCGCAAACCAATTATAAACACACAGTAACACTCAGCTCTAACTTTTACGGCGCAAACTTTTAACCGTTCAACGGAAATGGTTATTTGCTTGCTTAACAAGTTGGAAAACTACGCCAACAACACCAACTATAGTTTTGCTACACTAATGACAGCCATAAACAATAATTTTCTCTTTTTTTTGCTTTTCTTTATTCTTTCCGTTTCAGTACGAATGCAAAGTCCAAAATCTGAAAAAGCGCAAAGTTACCATACACATTTCCGTTAATGGAGTTCGCGTGGTTCTGAAAAAGCGAAGGAGAAAAGTAAGTCAAACTTGTGAACTTTTAGAAAAACATCATCCCTTTAATGTGTGTTCTTCCCTTCTTCTTTTTGTTATATTTTAGAAAAAGAATTGGACCAATGATTGCGAGGAAATTGAATTACTAAATCATCCCATCTATCGAATATTTTATGTGTCCCACGACAGCAGTGATCTCAAAATATTTAGTTATATTGCCCGAGATGCCAGTACGGACACATTTAAATGTTCGGTTTTTAAAAGTCATAAAAAGGTAAGTGTATGCGAACGAAATTTTGCATGTCTGGTCGTTTCTTCTCTTTCACAGTTGGTCCCCGCTGTTTCTTCCCCGTTTTTTCCTACAATTTTTCCGAAATAAATGTATATTTTTATACATGAAATCTCACATAAATGAGGTTTTGACTTTTTCAGAATTTCATGTGTTTTTTTTTTTTTTTTTTTTTTTTTTGGTTATTTTTGCATTGGTAGACGCCAAGTAAATGGATTTGCCTGAGACAAGTAATGTTCAGTCTCATTGTATTCGTTATTCGTTAATTATATTGGCAGCGTTCCAGTGGTCTTCCATTGCTCTTTTGTTGTAGTTGTAGCAGTCACCGTCCACAAGATGTCGACATGAACGTTTTTTTTTTTTTGTTTTGCATATCAACAACTTAAGAGTTTAGTGTAGACAGAATATTTTATGATGATGTTTGTGCTGTTATTTTAATGACCGATAAAAAATTGCGCTTGATTTCAGGTGAGAAAAAATCGTTGAACATGATGGGAATTTAGGAAGAAAGTTTTCTAGAAGTATAATTCTTTACAGGTGTGCTGAAATGTTGAGGATTTCTATGAACAGAAGTCTTATGAGATCTTCTTTAGCTAAAACGCCTTAAGGGTCAACTACTGACAATAGACAGACAGGCCTTAAAGAGCTCATAGGTAAACTAGAGAGAGAAGATATTCTATAGACAGAAGAAATTTGAGATATTCTATAAGTCAGATGCTACCTGCAATGTGTATGTGTAAGCCAATTTTGCAAGCTGTTGAGAAGCTATGTGGTTGATGGAACCCTTGTTGCTAGCAGGAAACTGGATACTTATTTTTAAAATTGGAGAGGAGTAATGCCTCAAAGCTTTCGCCAATATGAACCAAAGGATATTCGGAATGTCAGATTCCCCTTTGCTGACATATTGTTTGGCTTCATTGACGTGACCATTCTGTTCACTTTCCAATCCTAATGAATAATATGACTACTCACCATCCGAATTAGATCTTTGGTGAGGTGTTTGACTATCGACTTCCTCTGGGCCCTGAGCTAAGGGTAACATAACACATCGGGTGACATCTCCAATATTAACCATAATCGAACATACCTTTTCGGGATATGATCTATACTCTTAGCCCCTCTACGTAGCATCTTATCAGATTGGTTATTCTAACGTAACCCAGAGCGGTGAAATCGCAAAACACGGAGATTGAAAAAATTTGGTCTGAAAATTGAATATATCGGACCATTTGTTTTGATAAACACTTTTTTGAAAACTAAATGATATTTCTCCCACCACAAATCTGATGCGAAGATGACATAGATCGGGCCACTTATTCTGGTACCTCCCCCACAAAGATTCAAAATTCTGAATAATCATAATTTTTATAACATTTTAAAGAAGTGACTATCTTTAAATTCCGCATATCCCAATATGTCTACTTACTATAGGAATAGTATGAAGATGGAATTGATCGGGCGAACCAAATAATAAACTTTAGTAGGCATATCCAAAAAAATCGTCATCCCTTCATCCTAGACACCAACAGTGACCAAAACTTAGTACTATTTAATACTTTTCAAATAATTGTAGTACGGGTAAATGGGCGATGTAGGTCCACGTTTTGGATAGCTCACATATAACGGTACCTCCCGGTATTCCGTATTTTGATGATTATAACGATATCATTCACCCGAATTGTTTCGTATTCGAAGTTCGTAATAAGTACTATAGCCTATGCCTAAAAATTTCGTATGCAGGTCCACGTCTTCGTATGGCCCCCTTATAACGGTACCTCCCTTTGTTCGGTATTTTGATGATTTAACCGACATCATTCACCCGAATTGTTTCAAATTTCGTTTTCGAAGTTTGTAATGGGTACTACAACCTATGCCTAAAATTTTCGTATGCAGGTCCACGTCATCGTATAGCCCCCTTTTAACGGTAACTCCCCTTATTCGGTATTTTGATGATTTTAGTGACATTATTCACCGGAATTGTTTCAAATTTCGTTTTCGAAGTTTGTAATTGGTACTACAACCTATGCCTAAAAATTTCGTATGCAGGTCCACGTCTTCGTATAGTCCTCATTTAACGGTACCTCCCTTTATTCGGTATTTTGATGATTTTAGTGATATAATTCGCCGGAATTGTTCCAAATTTTCCATTTGAAGATCTTAATGGGTACTACAGCCTATGACAAAAAAAATTATTTATGCCGGTTCGCATCTTCGTATAAAGCTCAACGGTATTTTTCGGAATTTTTTGTTGAGAATGTTCAAGTTCCTTGCATTAAAAGTTCGGCCCGGCCAAACTTAGCTGCTTTTTTTACTTGTTTTCGTTTGGCGACGCCTTGTATCCAACTTACAATCTATGGCCTTGTATCTAACTTTTTGAAATAGCCTATTATTTTCAGCGTACAGTTGATTCAAAATGTAGTTCCTTTGCAGTACCCTTTATTGAGTTATTTGGCCCAAACTTGGCCCATTTTATTTTCTATTCCGCTTAAGGAAAATATCCTTTCCCTTTTAAGGAAAAATATAACTGGATTATTTTTAGATTAATATTCCTAAATTTCGCTTGAATTTGGTCAAAACATCTTGCGTGGAAACTTCTGTGGATAGCTGTTGACAATTACTGAGATAAGACCATCCATGTTGTCTCTTTGGTCCTCTCTTTCTCTGTCTGCTCTCTAATACAAGATACACATTAAGAAAATGTGGAAAATAAAAGAAAAACAAAACATTTCCGTATTCATTTTTTTTTTTTTTTTTTTTCGAAAATAACAACAATCCAAGAATACTAGTCTCCAAGTAGTAAATCTTTCAAGCAATTCCAATTCTAAATCAGTTGCAAATTATGGCACTGTTTATAGTAGTTGTTGCAGTTGTATGGACGTCTCTTGGCCACGAGCAACACTCGTGTGTGTCTGAATGTGTATATGTATTTATCTCGTAAATGTCATGAAGCATATTGGTATTATGGCTAAATCCTAAGAACTATTCAGACCGCAGCGCTGTTGTTCAACAATGGACAATTGCGGTGTAATCCAACAAACATGTGCTGTTTGATGTGGGCTGCTGATGATGCTGTTGTTTGCTTTGGCCCAGACCACAGCGGCTGTCTCTCTGGTTTTACTGCAGTCGTATTTTATTGTCATTGCTTCAATAAAGTTTACTACTAGAACTCTGGGGTAGTACAGATACTTAGGTACGATGACCTTGGGTAATGACGCTGAGCCTTAAATAAATTTGGTTTTCATATTATTGTCCTGGTTTTGATTTTATTATTAAGATCAATCTCAAACATACTATTCGAGATAAAATTTATGACAAGGGAGAGGAGAAGTTTGCGTTTACATTGAATACAAAAAAATACAATTCTTGGAAACCCTTAATTAATATATCGATGGATATTTTGCCGTTTTAATTTCATATATCATTGGAGAGACTATTTGTCTGGCATTTGTTTGACTAAATGCGCCAAACATTCGTGCGCACAGCCAGAAATGTTAATTCCAAGAAAACGAATAATAAGAAAAGATAATGTCTTTGTTTCAGAAAAATCTGATTTTGTTTTTTCTTATTGTGACTACATTTGAAATTATTTTTGCTTAAGAAAAAAAAAAAAAAAAATGTACAGGGCGAGATAAAAAAAACTGTAACAAAGACAAACGCTATAATTTTTACATTTTTTTCTTAAATGTTATGCAATGAATGCAAAAAACGTCGGAAATAACATCAAATTTTAGAATAAGTTTAGATTTGTTCGAATTGGTCACCTTTGGCACGAATTATGGCCTTCAAACCACCAATGAAACCGTCACACGATGCCCGAATATTGCTCTGGGTATTTTGGCCCATTCCTGGTAGAGCGCTTGTTTGAGGTGATCGACACTTTGGTATTTTTTAGTGCCAACATTGCTTCCCAAAACACTCCAGACACAATAGTCCAACAGATTAGTATCCGCAGATTTTGGTGGCCATTGTGCACTGGAAATGAAGCAAGGAACCTCATTTTGTAAGCATTATTGGGTGACGCGTGCTGAGTGCGATGGTGCTGAGTCCTGTTGGAATGTCCAAAGGTCTGAGGCCAAAATATTTGCGTGCCCATGGCTTTAATACTCCCACCAGAATATTTTCGCGATAATATTCGGCATTTATTCTGATGCCACGGTCGATTAATACAAGCGGAGAGCGACCCTCGGCTGTTATGGCGGCCTACACCATCACCATGGCCGGCGCTTGAGTTATGGTGGCCAACCGAAGGTGCACATTATCAGCTGACCTCTTTGGCAAGTAAACACGATCATTTTGTTTGTTTACAAACTACTGGACAACGAATGTTTTCTCATCGAAGAAAACCAAATTCGGCAGTTCACCACTTTCGGCCAAGCGAAGCAACTCTTTAGCTCTTTTGAGTCTTTTTTCTTTCTGTTACGCTGTTAGTTCTTGCTCTTTTTGGAACTGCAATGGCTTTACCCCGAGCTCATTTTTCAATATTTGCCGAATGGAATATTGCGACATGTTCAGCTCACGAGCCATTTTTTCGGCCACTGCGACGCGGATTTCGATCAAGTCGCTTCTTTACTTTTCGAACCATTTCTGCTGATGTTGCTGTTTTCTTCTGTCCACTTCCTTGACGTCGGGCTATGCTAAAGGGCGATGGTACGAGACACAAAAGATTTATTGACATTTAAATGCTGGAGTGCTCTAACGATAGCCACTTGTAGGTTTCCAGCCAAATATAAAGAAATCACACTATTACGCTTGAATTCCATCACGAATAACTTTTTTTCTGGAAAATTCTCACCAGAATTCTTTTGTACGCTTGTAAACAACATGAAACAGTGACAGCTCACTGGATTGATTTTAATAGCTGTCGGACGAGTGGCTTAGAAATGAAATTATCTCACCCTGTAGAAAGATACCCCCTGATTTTAGTTATTGCCATACTTGCCAATTGATGTTTGTTTATTTTCAGTGGTAGGAAACCTTATATCTCT